CTCCCCCCTCTCCCCTCTAATCACCTTAGATTTCTTCTCTCCCTCTGAAAGAATAATGGTTACTCTATTGATTTGCTGCCCAAATGATCTGTCCAATGCTGAGAGGTGTGATCAGGTCCCCCAATACTGTCATAGAGCAGGTGCCTCTTCCATCACTATGAAATGGGCTCTGTGGAAACAGACATCCTCCTCCTTTCTTTATCTCTGCTGGTGACTCTCCTTGTGTCAATACACTCCAGTGGCTGGTGGACCATCTGCGTGGTGGTTGTGGCGTCTAGCCGCCTTCACGGCAGCCATGGTTATCGTGGTGGCTGTGGTGGGCCACCCACCTGGAGGAGATGTTTTTGGCATGCTCCTTGGTGCTGGTGGTGTGCCTGGTTGTGGAGAGTGTCCGATCCCCAGCTCCATACTCCAGGTCCCCGAGTGGGTCCCAAGGTGATGGCATGGTGTGCCTGGTTGTGGGAGGGGGGTCTGGTCCCCTTCCCCATGCCCTGGGTCTCCGGATGGGCCCCAAGGCCCTGGCACAGCGAGCTGGTTGTGGAGGGGGATCCGGTCCCCTACTCCATGGCCCAGGTCCCTGGGCAGGCCCTGAAGTGCTGGTGCAGTAAGCCTGGTTGTGGGATGGGGGTCCAGTCCCCTTCTCCATGCTCCAGGTCCCCAGGTGGGCCCCAAGGCACTGGTGAGGTGTGCCTGGTTGTGGGAGGGGGGGGTCCAGTCCCTGGGTGGGTCCTGAGGCACTGACTCGGTGAGCCTGGTTGTAGGAGGGGGGTCTGGTCCCCTTCTCCATGCCCCAGGTCCCCAGGCGGGCCCCGAGGTGATGGTGTGGTGAGCCTGGTTGTGGGAGGGGGTTCTGGTCCACTTGTCCATGCCTTGGGCCCCCAGACGGGGCCCTGAGGTGCTGTCATGGTGTGCCTGGTTGTGGGAAGGGGGTCTGGTCCCTGGCTGCTAGCCCTGGGTACCTGGGTAGGCCCTGAGGTGTTGGTGGTGTGCCTGGATGTAGGAGTGGGGTCTGGTCCCCAGCTGCAATCCTCGGATTCCTGGGCGAGACCCCAAGGTGCTGACAGTGTGAGTGGATGTAGGTGGGGGTCCTGTCCCTGGCTCCATACCTCATGTCCCCTGGTGGGCCCCAAGGCACTGGTGGTGTGCCTGGGCCGGAACTAAGTTTTTGTCCTTTGCTTACTTCTAACATGGGGGAGCTTCCTGTGGGAACCAGTACTTGAGCTGGGTGGTTGAGTAAATTGCTGCTTTGCTGCTGTTTCCCTAGGGAAGGCTTTTTATGCAGCTCAGGGTTTAATGGTTGACCTTATAGGTACTTCCGGCTCTCCAGAGACCTGGTGCACCTGGGTTGTGTAGAAACTCTGATCTGGGCCTGAGTTTTTTCATCAAACTGCACCCCATGCAATTCTGCATTCCCAACCATTCTCCTCTGAGTGGTCCTGTGCTGACTGGGGGGCGGGTCAGCTGTCCTTGCTGTGTCCCAGTGTTCCCCTGGTGGGCATGTCTCCCCCACCGCCTGTGCTCCAAACACTTCCCATGGGACAGGCCCTATGCCGGGCCCTTGCAATGACTCACCAGCCTCTGAATGGCTCCCCTTTTACAGTTGTTCTGGCTCCTCACTCCTATGTGGGTCCATGTGAACCCTATTAGTGGTCTTGCTGTCCTGGGGGCCACCAAGTCCCTCTTCTCCCCTGCTGCCTCCAAGTAACTCCATCTGAAGAGCACAGCTGAGGCTTCTGCCAGCTCCTGCTCCATGCGCTCCAGCATTAAAGCAGCCATGGGCCAAAATGCTGAGAGCAGTATTTTCTTTCTCTCATCGTGGTTTCTCCCACCTTCATAAGTTCCATAGGTCTATCCTCCTCTTCCCCTGAGCTCCAGCGGCCCCAGGTTGGCTGATGTTACATTTTTATAGTTGTAAATTGGTTGATTTGTAGGAGAGAGTGACGCTGGGGACTGTCTATTCTGCCATCTTGACCAGAACCTTCCCCAAATTTTATTTATTTTAATTGACCCATTGCAATTGTACACACTTATGGGGTACAATCTGATGTTTTGATACATGTATATGTTATATAATGATCAAGTTAGGATAGTTAATGTATCCATCACCTCCTGCATTTATCATATCTTTGTGGTAAAAACATTCAAAAGCCTCTCCTCCAGCTATTATGAAATATACAAAACTTAACTGTTAACCATAGTCACCCTACTATGCAATAGAACACCAGAACTTATTCCTTCCATCTAATTGTAATTTTGTGCCTGTTGCTCATTCTCTCCTTGTCCCCCGCACCCCCCTCTGATAACCACTGTTCTACTCTCTGTCTTTATAATATTGACTTTTTTTTTTTAGATTCCACAAATGAGTGAGATTATGTGGTATTTGTCTTTCTGTATCTGGCTTACTTCACTTAACATAATGACCTCCAAGTCCATCCATGTTTCTACAAATGATAAGATTTCATTCTCTTTTATGGCTGAATAGTATTCCATTGTATATGTATACCACATTTTTTAATTCATTCATCTGTTGCTGGACACTTAGGTTGGTTCCATATCTTGGCTATTGTAAATGGGGCTGCAATAAACATGGGAGTGCCGGTGTCTCTTCCACATACTGACTTCATTTCCTTTTGGTATATACCCAGTAATGGGATTGCTGGAGCATATGGTAGTTCTATTTTTAATTTTTTGAGGAACCTCCATACTGTTTTCCATATGGCTGTACTAATTCACATTCCCACCAACAGTGTGTGTTTTCTTTTCTCCACATCCAGCACTTATTTTCTTTTGTCTTATTGATAATAGCCATTCTAACTGGAGTAAGGTGATATCTCATTGTTGTTTTGATTTGCATTTCCCTGATGATTAGTGATGTTGAGCATTTTTTCATATGCCTGTTGGCCATTTGCATGTCTTTTGAGAAATGTCTATTAAGATCCTTTGCCCATTTCTCAATTGGGTTGTTTGTTTTTTTTGCTGTTGAATTGTTTAAGTTTCTTATATATTCTTGATATTAACCCATTGTCAGCAGTATAGTTTGCAAATATTTTCTCCCAATCTGTAGCCAAGCCATTTTTATTATTGGTTTTGCTCTTGTGGTTTGGCACTTTTCATGAAACAGTTTCAAGAACTTTCTTCTAAATTGTTCTGAATAATTCCTTCCCTCTCTGTTTCCAGCTATGGCTCATTTAAAGCACATTGATGGAGTTGGACAACCCGCAACTACGTTTTTTGCTTTTCCATTATGAAAGGTTGTTGATTTTCCTCTGAGTACCTGCCTGTGGTTAATTAAAGTACAAATAAGAAATATCAACCCAAAACTCTAATTTTCTGCTTTTTTATAAAAACCCATTAGGCACCTCCCAGTAGAACAGAATCCATTTTACAGTGAGCCCTTTTCTGGCGATGGTGGCAAGGAAAAGGATTAAGGGTCTATCCATATTATGCCAACTATGGCCATATTTAACCGTGTTAAGGGCCATGGTTTGACTGGCAGCATGGTCAAGTCTGTGTAATCATTACTATATTGGAATAACATTGGAAAGCTCTCTATTTGACAAGTAAGGACATTATCACATGGGTTGAGGGAGAGGTGCCTTACTAGTCACAGACACATGAAAATAATACCAAGAGGATGGAGAAAAATAATGAAAAAGTACATACAGATTTGTCCTGTCTGCAGGTCATAGTCAAAGGCATCCACGGAGTAGGATAAACTGTCGATGTAATAGAAAATTTTGTGGTCTAGGGACCAATCCAAACCATTGGAGATGTCCACCTGGTCGAAATACTTTTTCACATGGTGGTCAGGAAAAAGGGAGTACAGGGACCCTTGGTGCCGCTCCATAACTGCCGGGGCTGTTTCTTCTCCCATGGTGCCTACAAAAACCAAAGAGCTCTGAGCTCAGCCCCATAGCACCTCTCCCCATGCACCACACCACCCTTTCTCACCAGGGATCCTTTCCAGTGTTTAAATCAAGGAAATTAGTATACTATCCCAATCTGGGTCCTATATGTTTTAAAATGACAACTACCTTGCTTATAGTGCAAATTAAAACTATGCTCAGAGGTTCTGCTTCCAGATAAGGAGTAAAGATGCACCGAACTCATTTTCTCCCACTGAGCACAACTATAAAACCTGGATAAAAATGCATGGCCCAGCTATTTGAGAATTCTGAAAAGTAAACAGCAGCAGGCAGCTCAGGCAAGAACAGCAGAATTTGAAGCACCACCTAACACCTATTTGGTGGTGAGTTCTTCATTTTCTTCTCCAATATCTCCTGGCCTGAACTCAATACGGCCTGAAATCTGGACTCGTGCACTGCGGTGCAGACAGAGATGCAAGGAAACCCTCTAGACCTGGCTGAAGGTGCAGAAAAGGAAACTTTTGAAGCTCAGTGAGCGTGGTGGAAATCCCTGGGTTGTTTTGCACTCCTTTTTCTCCATTCTCTCACGCACTAGTCCCTGGACAGTTCTGCAGCAGAAGTAGCAACAGCAAAGAGAGTGGCCAGCAACAGGAGACTACAGGAATCAAAACTGAGGGAAGCGAACATTCGTCTCCATTTGGTGAGGCTGTAGCTCCAAAAGGGTGGAGCCAAACGCTGTTGCTCTTACATTTTCTCTTTCTCTGTCCTCCTGCTGCTTGGTCCCAGAGGCAGCCCAGTTACAGAAATGGATGGTTTCTGGCTAGAGGAAAGAAAAGGAGAGCTCCAGGAAACTGGAAAGTCCTGAGAGATAGTGGAGAGACAGTTACTCAGGAATGCAACCCCATAAAGCTGTTAATGATCTCCTAGGCTCATCCCCCCAACTTGCACATGCATGGATCCAACTCTAATGAGCATACCAAAGACTTTGAGAGTGTAGCCAATGGATAGAACTTCTTCTAGGTCCCAGACTGACCACCGATTGGCACACATGTGGGACAGATCCTAATAGCACCCAACAGAAAGCAGTTGGAACTTGTGGCCTGAACCTAAACATATACATTGCCTTCCAAGACAACTATAACAACGTTCTCCAAAGGATTTACACAAGACTCAGGGTCTCATAACCTCATATTCAAAATGTCTCGGCACCAAGGTCCAGGGTTCGATCCCTGTACTGGCCTCTGTAAAAAACAAAACAAAACGAAACAAAAATGTCTAGGATATAACCCCAGATTACTTGGCAACACAAAGAAGCATGGCAATCTGAACTCACAAAGGAAAACATAATCAACAGATGCAGAAAACGAGATGGCACAGATGTTGGGATTATTTGACAAAAACTGAAGTAGCTCATAAAAAACTCAAATCAGCAATTATAAACAGTCTTGAAATAAAACTCAAAATAGAAAATATCAGCAAAGAAGTAGAAGAAATAAAGAATAACCAAATATCAGATTCCCCATACCTACCAGCCATCAAAAAAAAAAAAAAAGAATAGCCAAATGAAAATTTTAGAAGTGAAAAATAAAATAACTGAAATAAAGAAAACTCACTGGGCAGACTCAATAGCAGAATAGAGATGATAGAGGAAAGAGTCAGTGTACCTGATGATAAATCAATAGAAATTATCTTATCTGAACATCAGAGACAAAAAAGATTGAGAATAAAAAGGAACAGAGCCACAGGGATTCATGGGACAACAAAAGGGCTAATATGTCATTGGATTCCCAGAGAAGAAGAAAGAGTGCAGGGCCAAACAATATTTGAAAATTATATGGCTCAAAACTGCCCAGATTTGGTGAAAAGCACAAAACTACAGATTGAGGAATCTGAGCAAATCCAAAACATGGTAAGCCCGAAGAAACCCACACGTAGACACATCATAATCAAATCGCTGACAGCTAAAGTCAAATAAAAGTGCTTGAAAGCAATGAAAGAAAAATGACACATTACATATAGGGGAATAATGATTTCAGGGACAAAGAGGGGTACTATATATTGAAAATGGTCAACTCACTAAGACATAGTAATCCTCAATGTGTACGTACTTAACAGAGCTTCAGAACGCACAAAGCAAAAGTTGTGAGAACCAAAAGGAGAAATAGACGAATCTGGAATTATAGTTGGAGACTATCAACATATCTCTCTCAGTAACAGATACAAGGAGATAGGAAATCAACAAAGATATAGAAGAACCAGAAACCATCAACCAACTGGATCTGATTGATATTTATAGACCACTCTACTGAACAGCAGCAGAATATCCATTCTTCTCAAATGCATATGTAATATTTTGTGGAATATACTATAAAGCATATGTACCTCACAGGGCCTGGTTTTCCAAAGCCTTGTAGTTTCAAATATTGACCTTGTGGAGGACTGGAAATTTTCCTCAGGCTATAAGTTTCTGGTGTAAGATAAAGATTTGTGGCACAGCAAGGTTACTGGCTCAAGGACAGACAGGTTACTGCTTGATATGTGTAGATACTGGAAAATTGCTGGTGGGAGGAGGAATGTTTGCTAAGACCAAGCTTGTGTTGATAGGACCACTTAACGGCCTTACTGGAATGTCATCTGGCTTGTTTCACTGAAAGTTACCAGCCTATACTGTTAAACTGTAATCCCACCTATGTCTCTTCCTGTAACTTCCTGGTCTGGAAAATAAATGCAGGAAGAGAACCCCAATTCAGGGTTAATTTCCCAAGGAAGGGTTGACCCTTGCTTGAGGGTTCCGGCAGGAGATTAACCACTTTGGGCTCTCTCACTGCTCAGAAGAGATGGGCTTTGAGTAATCCTTTGCATCTCCGTCACCCAGGGGAAGAGGGGTGACAAATACATGGGGGGTGAAGCAACACAAAGCAATAATATTTCGGTCACTAAAATCATTATTCAATATTCACTTAGACTTGAGTCTGATCTCAGGGGACAGAGCAGAATTTGACAATAATGAAAAAACTGGAAAGCTCATCTACTATATCATACTCCATCTAAAAGAAGAGCGAGTTAGAGGAGGAAAACAGACTGAAAATGGGAAGCCTGAATAGCAAGCAATTTGGGGTAAGTCCTCCCTTCCTGTGGAGAAGGATGTGCTCTCAGCAGTTTCCTGCTATAGGACAGCTGGGTTTGTTTAATGAATATTCCTCCAGAAAGAGATGCCTGGAACATGAATATGAATCCCCTGCTGCTTGGAAAGGGCTCTTCTTTAGTGGGGTAGAATAACCTAGAACCCTGGTTTATGCTTCATTATTTGGTAGTGAGCACAGACAGCTCAAGCCTTGAGACTCCATCTAGACTATCAGATGACTCCACCCTCTTCTGGGCCTGGGACACCTCTGAGCACCTGCTGAGAGTTATGACTTCTCTCTAGAAAAAGGTTCTTGAGTGCTTCTGGCAGATCCATGCCATCAGTAGGGACACTCACAATGATACCTACAATTTTAAGGGGTCTTATGACAGCCCAGAGATCCCAGTTAAGAACTCAGGCCTTGGAGAACATCTTTATTTTTGTCTCATAAACTGCCACAGAACTGTAAACTTCTAGCCAGAAGGGAGAGAGAAAACCAATTTCATTAGGAGGTAAAGCATTCAATCATATTTCTTTATCCTGCAGAAATTACTGGCAGAAGGGCTTCTAATGGATCCTCATCTTTAATCTTTCAGCCTGTCCTGGCTGATATCTGTGGTTGTGTAAAGTCCAGGACGATGGGGAACAATCTACAGTCAGCTGCTCAGACCTCAACTGCCTGCCATGTTGAAAGTGAATGGAGCCAGGACAGCATGGCCAACCATGTGAGGGGACTGTGGGAGGTGCAAATAGCAGGGATGAAGAATCAACTTTGGTAACATAGGGTTGTTATCATGGGAGGTAAATGAGAAATAGGTGTGAAATGTACTAACTAATTTAAAACTATAGTGGAAATCCTTTTAATGCCATATATAAGCATCTGCAGCCATCATAGTAAAGATTGGTTCAAGCAAGAATCATCAATGAATCCTAAGGGAGAAGTTTTGATGAGGACCAGGATATTTGCATGTCCTTAAAGAATCTCCCCGAGTTGTAGCCAGCCTCTCCAAGATAGCCCCTAATGGTCCCTGCTTCCCAGTATTCACACCCTTCCGTAGTCCTCTCCATCACTGTCTGTATGACCAATAGCAAATGGCAGAAGTGATGCTATGTCACTTCCAAGATTGGTTATAACAAGACCATAGCTTCCATCTTGGGCTCTCTCTCTCTCCCTGTTTCATCACTGGCTCTAAGGGAAGTCATGTCCTGAGCAGCCCTATGGAGAGGCCCACGTGCTAAGGAACTGAAGCCTCCTGCCACCTCCTACATGAATGTGCTTGGAAGTGGATCCTCCAGGCCCATTCAGAGAATCCGGCCTCTTCTGAGGCTGCAGCCTCGGGCGGCAGCATGACCACAACCCCCTGAGATAGCCTGGACCAGAACCATCCAGTGAAGCTGCCCCCAGATTCTTGATCTTCAGAAACTATGTGAGATAATAAACATTTGTTATTTTAAGCCACTAAGTTTCAGGATAATTTGCTACTCAGAAATAGATAACTAACAAACACACATTGCTTATAAATTGCAATTAAGGTTGGCTGATTGGCTCAGTTGGTTAAAGCATGGTGTTATAACACCAAGGTCAAGGGTTGGATCCTCATGCTAGCCAGCTGCAAAAAAAAAAAAAAAAAGAAAGAAAGAAAAAAAAGTGCTATGCAGTAGAAAAATCTGACAGGACCTTAACTGGGTGATCAAAATTAATCATCGGCAGTGAGGGACAGATGGACATCGTATGCCTCCAGATGGCATGCTCTGAGGAGAACAGAACATCATCTACACAGTATTCCAGCCAAGAATGCCTAACATCAATCTAATCACAAGGAAACATCAGACAAACACAAAAGGAGGAATGTTCACTTAAAAAGCGGGGTGGGGGTTTGGGTTGAACTGTATTCTTCAAAAATGGCAATGTCATAAAAAAACAAAGAAGGGCTGTGGAAATGTTCCAGATTAAAAAAGATTAATGAGATAATGACAATAAAATGCAATACATGATCCTAGACTGGATCCTGTACTGGAGGGAAAAATATGCTATAAAGGACATTATTTGGTTATTTGACAAAACTGGGATATAGACAGTACATTAGATAAAATTATTGTATCAATGTTAAATTCTTTAAGTTGATAACTATACTGTGGTCATGTAAGATATATGTCATTTTTCTTGGGAAATTCACACTGAAGTATTTTAAGGGATAAAGGCACATAATATATATTCAATCTATTCTCAAATGATTCTGGAGATAAATATGTTTAGATACACAAGGTACTTCAAAATGTGCATGGAAAGATTGCATATCTTTTAATTCGATTTTTCCATGCAGTCTTTTATTATTATTATTACTATTTGTTTCTTTGTGTGTGGCTGGCTAGTAAGGGAATCTGAACCCTTGACCTTGGTGTTATAACACCACTCTCTGACCAGCTGAGTTCACCAGCCAGCCCTCCACGTGCTTTTTGAAGTATCCTCATAAATAGAGAGCAAATGACACAGCAAGTAGAACAAAATGTTAGCAATAGGCAAAGGGTGTACAGGAGTTGTTTGTACTATTCTTACATTTTTTTCTGTAAATCTAAAATGATTTCCAATTTAAACATCATCGGCAATAAAACCCCTGCATTTAAAATTCATTTAAACCACAAAAGTATCATACAGAATTTAGTCTCTGCTAGAGACAGAGATTGAAAAGAAGATCTAGGAAGATTTTCTCATAGATTTTGTGTGTGTGATACGAGTTACTCGGGCAATAATAAAAGAAGAACCCAAGACCCATCATGAATAACACCTTTCCCACTACAGCACTGAGAACTTTCTAAGTCATAGTATTTCCTCCAAAGCTCAGTAAGTGGGTGCTAAAGATAAATCATACCAGCAAAGTATCTCCCGGCGGGATCCACCTTCCCATCATTGAATCGATTGTTTTTCTTATCTTTATCCACTGTAGCCAGGACAACTGCTGATTGATCTGCCCAGTTCAAAGCACAGAACTTTGTTCCAATGGTGGCGACATAGTCTCCTGACTGGCGAAGGGCCAAAGAGCTGACTGGGGCATCTGTAGAGGCAGAAACAGCAGTTAGGAGGCAGCTAGCAGTCCAGTGGCCGAGCAGCACAGTGAGGCCACCGTGCCACCTGGCATCTCTTAGAGAAAGAGCCCAGCTCTTTTGACAGTGGAAGCTTTCTTCCTTCTGTTGAATAGTGAAGACTACATAACTGAGCGTATTTGTTGAGCATGAACTCTGTGTGCTGTTCTGGGCAGCAAGGATAGAAAGGTGGATAAAACCCAACTCCTCTGGGAGCCCCCAGTCTAGTGGGAGAAGCAGAGAAGTCAAACCACAGCAGCCACAATACTGTGGGGCTCGATGCCACGTCCAGTTCAAACGAGGGGCTCTTAATCTAGGGGCCCCAGGGCAGTAGTCACGGAGCAAGAAATGCTCAATTCGCTTGACCTCCAGGAAATTTAGACACAAACCGTGTTTAGTTACAGCAACTAGGTTTTGTGGCATCTCTCTCCTCCTCCAAAACTGGACTTGTCCTTTTTATTTTTATTTTTATTTTTTATTTTTTTAAAAGATGACCGGTAAGGGGATCTCAACCCTTGGCTTGGTGTTGTCAGCACCACGCTCAGCTAGTGAGCAAACCGGCCATCCCTATATAGGATCCGAACCCGTGGCCTTGGTGTTATGAGCACCGCACTCTACCGAGTGAGCCACGGGCCGGCCTGGACTTGTCCTTTTTAAAGGGCTCTATTTTGTATGTATTTAATTCAAAGTTGTTTCTCAAATCCTTTTTGGAAGTAAGCATGGTAACAATAATAAATAGAAATGCAGATACAGCGATAGCACAATCACATCTCTTCATTATATTACTATGTATATTCTGTATTTTTAAAGTTTAGGTTTTCTGGGTTTAATATTTTTCCATGTATAAGAAAAAAAGGGGGGTTTTGACGGGGAGGGGGCGGCTGGCCAGGGCGGCTTGACCTTGGTGTTATAACACCGCGCTCTAACCAACCGAGCTAATCAGTCAGCCCAGAAAAAGAATTTTTAAGTGTAGAGATGTCTTACCGTAGTGAGCAGTCACAGGAAATAAATGCATCAGAATTGATTTTGAAAACATTTCCTAAGCGCCTATTCAGTATAAGACAATGGGCCCCCTGGGAGCAGCTCTTAGCTCAAAGCCCTGCTCTGACATTGATTGGAGCCATCGAGCATCCCAGGGAACGTGCAGGGCATTATTAGGAGGGTCACACTCTCATCAGGGACCCCAACTTGTGGCCTGAGACTTCTGGTAGCTTTCCAAGCTACTGCTGACACCACAAGCCCTTTCCATGGTTTGCGGGGGTGCTTTACAATTAGGGGTAGGTGTGTGTGCATGCTGGGAAAGAGAGATTAGGGAATGGGATGGGTCCCCATCTCCACTCTACCCTCAGAGGTCACAGTCACTTTGCCTCCAGTCACAGTCAGTTTCCGGGGTGAATTAAAAAGCTGCTCTCTCTCATTAAAAACAAAAAAAGTTTGGGCCGAGACCGTGGTGCACTCGGGAGAGTGCGGCACTGGGAGCGCAGCGACGCTCCCGCCGCGGGTTCGGATCCTATATAGGGATGGCCGGTGCGCTCACTGGCTGAGCACGGTGCCACCGGTCTCAAAAAGGACAAAAAAAAAAAAGTTTGAGGTCCCCAGTTCCAAATTGAGAGAGAGGGTATCTATCCCAACTTAGAGGAATTCCTGGTATTTCTTCCCATGAACACAACAATGAAAACAAGAAACTTCTATCGAAAATCCCACCAACCCTTGGGCCACGGAAAGTGATAAACCACTTCTCTGGAAATTACATGGCCATAAATGGAATCACACTCAAGTGCACATGAAATTCCATCATGAATCCTATTTTGTGCAGTGACCTGCACAAAGATAGTCCTGGTCGAGGCCTTATAAATCCAAAAGCTCTTCTTTTCACATTCAAAGAAGATATACATATAAAATATGTGTATATATATAATACATATAAAATATGTATTATATATATTTTATATATATATATATTATATATAAATATATATATATACATATTTTTTTTTTTGAAAATTAAAGTCTTGGCCTGACCCAAGATAGATAGCCTCCGCTGGGCTACAACTTTCAGCGCTGTTATCTGATGGTATTATGGAAAGATCAATACCGGAGTGCCCGGAGTCAAAACGAAACTGAGAATGTTGCCCCTCACTTAAGGAGGAAAAGCAAAGTGAAGGTGGGAGGACATGGGGTGTGGACCCAGAGAGCACAACAATCCAAAGAGTTTTAAACATATTTGGTAAACTTTCTTTTTTGGCCGCTGGCTGGTACAGGGATCCGACCCTTGACCTTGGTATTTATATTCAGTATACTTTAATCAGAAGGTCCCAGGGTAATGACAAACACTGGGTGACCACCCCTCCGCTGGGAAAAGGTGGCTGACTGCACAGATCTGAGCCCAGCCTTCAGCCTTACCCATGATCACTCGCTGCACTTGCTTGGTGAGTGAATCCCACCGGCAAATCTTTTTCGCAGGAATATCTACGAAGAGCAGAGAGTTGGACGCTTCTTCCCATACTGGAGACTCACCGCACCGGCAGTTCTCGGGCAAAACACACTCAATCTTAATGGAAGACATTGTCATGGGGGAGACCTACTGAAGGTAACAGAGAGAGAATGAAACGTAGTCGCATGGAGCAGAGTCAGTAAAACACCTGACTTAGGACCCTGGCAAGATCCCAACACTGGCTATTTGACTAGAACTGGAAAGGCCAGACACACTTTCCCCTAATCAGAACAAGATACACAATGTGACTGGAGGAGACGAGTGTGAAAAAGAAAGAGGTGATAGGAGATAACATGAGGCATCTTCAGTCAACTTGCTGTGACTTTGTTTATCAAGCTAGCTTTAAAAAAAGAAAATGTGACCCACCAACAATCATACCTTGGAGCTAGTGACCACTGTTGAGACAGTGCAGAGCTGCCCTTTATGTCAGCAGCACCCTGGGCGCCAGGGTGGGTCAGGGGCGGGCAGCTCACTCATTGGTCAATGGCCCCTCTGGGTGTCTGCAGGTCACCTTCTCCTGTGGTCCCTGCCCCCCATCTGTTGGTGCCATCGATCCCTTTCTAAGATGGTTCAGAGGCCAGGGCCTTCTTGATCTGGTTTTCTCTGAACTGCATTTTTCAGAGTATGCTCACCAGTGATAACACACTGAATTAGAATGAACATCCATTTTCAAATTCAGACAGTGAAATGGGTGGAGAAAAGGACATGGTCTAGGAGTCCTTGTAGGAGCTGAAAGCCTCTGAGCTTTCTCTTGCTTCCTAAGAAGGGACTGCACCAGTTTGGCAAGGAGTCTTGAATTCCACAGGCAAGGAACATTCCATGCTGGGACTTTAGGCCAGAGATTGTGACCAGTGCATTGGGAGAAAAAAGAAAAATTATCAGAAAAGAAAAAAAAAAGATCAGATAAGAATCCCATGTGGGAGAGGAAAGACACCTGCGGACACCCAGGCGACTTTCAGGAACCTTCTCTTTTTCTCGACTCTGCCCTGAGCACGGGGGTTTCCAGTAATGATACAAATCGTCTGCACTTTCATCCCTCTTGGGAGGGTATCTGCTTTGAAGTGAGCGGTCCCGCACACGGGCGGGCAAATGAATAGAAGGGGGAAAAGGAAAATAGGTTGAATATTTCTTTCAATAAGCTTTTTTTTTTTTTTTTTTGTAGAAACAGAGCAGCGTAAACCTGTCTCAAATACTGGCCGCCAGCATCGTAGCATTTGGAATATTCATTGGCTATTAAAAATTGGCTCAGCGGTGGCCGGTTGCTCAGTTGGTTAGAGCGCGGTGCTATAACACCAAGGTCAAGGGTTCTGATCTCCACACCCGCCAACCGCCAAAAAAAGGAAAACAGTTGGTTCAGACTCCAAAGGCCTTCAGGCTATCAATCTTAGATAAGGCCCAAGATCAGACTCAGGACTTTAGCAAGAGAGACTTTTAACCCTGCGCTCCGTCATGCAAGCTGGGGGCTGCCAAATGTCCCGCTGGGCAGCGGGGAGCGGGAACCGGGCGTCAGGTGCCCGCGTTGTTGTTGGGGCACCTGTGCGGGTGAGGGGCCTCTGCATAATCTGGTAGCGCCGCTGCGGCCTCGGGCGAAGGCGACAGCGAGGCCCCGGGAAGCTGGAGGTTGGGCCCGCCTCGTCCCCGGCGCCGGGCTCTGCTGAGCGCGCACCAGCCCTCCCGGCCAAGCGGGAGGGGACAGGGCAGTCGGTCTCCTTCCGCTACCGCTGATCGGGAGACCGGGCCCGCTCCGCTGTCGCCAGCCTTTCCTCTCCGGGAGCGGGCAGGGAGGCCGGCCCGACCTGGGCACTCACCGGGCAGGCAACTCCTGCGGCGGTCAGGCAGCAGCTCGGGGAGGAGAAATCGTGCCGGGGACACAGCGACTCTGCAGGTAGATGGACGCAGGCCTGGGGACGGGTGGAGACTGGCGACCCTGTTTGCACACCCTCCCTCGCCCCTAACGCAGTACCCCGCCTCTCCTCCCTCGCGGCACTAGAACCCTGCAAAGCCACCCGGGGCAGGGGCGGGGTGGGGGTAGAGGCTTAGGGCCCAGTGAACCTGAGCTTTGGAGTTTGGACGGGCATCTAAAGTTTATCTTACTTAAACAACAAACCAAAAAAAGTTGTTAAAATGCCTAACAGAGATTGGGACGGTTTTGATTAAACACGAACAGGTTAAAAAGGAAAGAACAAAGCGGTTAAACAAATCCTGCCCCTAGTCAAGACGACTCTGACGTCTGGAGGCCAACTCTTGCAAAACGTTTTTGGTGAGGAAGAGGAAACGCTTTATTTAATTTGATTTTAAAATTATATGGAGCCAGCTGCCAAAAAATAAATAAAATAAAATAAAATAAAATTACATGGAGTAAACGACCCTAAGCAGCACTCAGCTTCACAGTCCCCATGGACAGCCTAAATATATTCCTGCTGCTGCCACCTGCCCGTGCATACTTCTCTAAATAACCCTCAAGTTCGAAACATCTTTTAAAAAAGCAGGGGAGGGAGATAAACAGAAGGGTGCATGCCCCTGGGGCTGGGGGCAGGGATTAACTGTTAAGGGGAAAGGGATCTTTCTGGGGGATGGAAACGTTCTGTACCCTCACGGAGGTCTGAGCTGCACAGGTGTGTGTGCTGTCAACAATCACCCTGTGCACACTTGAGATTTGAACACTTCGTTGTGCGTATTGAACGCCAGGTCTATACTCCCTCATTGTCTGTATCTCTCAATCTAGTGCCCCTTTCTTGCCATCTGGACTATCCTAAAACCCCTCAGTACACTCAGATCCCAATCATTTCGGTATTCTAATACTCTTTAATTCACTAAGGAGGAAGGGCCAGAAATTAGTACGCAAAAGCATAAGAAAGCTTGAGCCAAGCAGGAAATGGAGCAACCTCAGCTCAAAGTGTAAGGTTGGTAACTTCGAATAACAAGCACTTATCACCTCAAAGCTTTTTCCCTTTCCCCTGGGAGCTACTTCTCTCCATATCCCCATTCGCAAGTTTACAAAGTGAGAACACTCCCAAAGCCACACATCCAGCTGGGAAAAATCTGGCAAATAGCCCAAGCCATTAGTTAAACATAAGAACTTGAAGGACACTTTCTGGGGTGGGGTGAAGAGCGGTATTGTGATCTCCGGATGTTGGGGATCTCTGGGGTCTGGTTGTGCCCTCTCTCTAAGAAGCCTCTTCTCCATCCATGGCTTCTCTGTCCCCTCAACGCTGGTGACTCCCTAACTGCTGTCTCAGCCCAGCTTCCTCCACCAGGCTACAGGCCTGGAGACCTAACCCTCCCTCAGCAGCCCCACCGAGCTGCTCAAACCCAACCACAGGGTTCTCCACAAAACTCCTGCGTGCTCTGTCTTGATGAAGGGGACCTTGATGCAACCAGTAGGCCATGCAGGAAACTCAGACACCTCACTAGACTTTTCTTATTCCCTAACTCAAGTCCAGATAGTCACCAGATCATAGAACTGTCCCTTCAATATCCTTGTGACTATATTGGTGCCGCCTTAATTCATTCAAGCCATTTCTTAGCCTGATTGTTGTCATCTCCTTGGAGGCCCTGGCTCACCCCTGTGGATCCACTGCCAAAATGAGTCCTGTGAGGCAGGGGATGGCCTTATCCGCCCTCACCTCCCAGGCCCCACCACAGAGCTGGCACGCACAGGTTGTTCGATTATATGCTTTTTTTTTTTGCAGGGAGGGGTAGCTTTATTAAAAAAAAAAATCAGTCTTACAGAAAAGTTGCAAAAATAATATAAAGAATTCATGATTACCTTTCACCCAGACTCCCCAAATGTTACCAGTTTACCACATTTGCTTTACCCTTCTCTCTCGCATTTACATATGTACAGTTTCTGAAAACAGTTTGAGAGTAAGTTGCAGACATAATGATCCTTTCCCTCTAAATACTTCAGTGTGCATTTCCTAAAAATAACGACATTCTCTTATATAACCCCAGCACTACTACCAAAATCAGGCAACTATCGTTGAGACAGTCTTATCTCATTGGGTTTCATCAATTGTCCCGCTACTGTTCTTCATAACAAAAGGAAAAAAGTGGGCCGGCCCGTGGCTCACATGGGTGAGCGTGGCGCTGACAACACCAAGTCAAGGGTTAACATCCCCTTACCGGTCATCTTTAGAAAAAAAAAAAGGAAAAAAGTATTTTGTTTCCGAATCCAATCCAGGGTAAAGCACTGCATTCTGCTCCTTAGCCTTTCTTTATTTCATGACATCGACATTTTGGGAGTTCAAAATGTAGAATGTCCCTTAATTTGAGATTATTTGGTTTTTCCTCATGGTTAATTCAGGCTATGTCTTTTTGGCAATACTACAGAAGTGAAGTTGTAGCCTCAGCATCTGGAGGCAAACGATGTCGATTTATTAACTTTGTTCACAGTATGTGGTTATTGAATCTTTATAAAATACAGTCAAATCATACCACTCTTCGATGGACCCAAGAGCATACAAGGCCCTTCAAACTTGCTGGTAGTCCCTGCTTGACCTCTGCCATGTTCTAGCCACATACCCTGCTTCTTGCCTTTTTTTTTTTTTTTTCCTTCAGCTGGCCAGTGTGGGGATCCCAATGAACCCGTGACCTTGGTGTTGTAACACCACGCTCTAACCAAGTGAGCTAACTGGCCAGCCCCTGCTTCTTGCCTTTGAACTTGCTGTTCCCTCGGCCTAGAACACTTTTCTTCAAACACTAATCCAACCCCTACCTCTGCACTGGGCTAACTCTTACCTAAGATTCAGCCGAGTGTCTGCTCCACCAGGAAGCCACCTGGTCTCCGACCTGTTGCTCTTACAGTGTCCTGTCTTTATGTGCTATTACACTACTCTTCATACTGAGAACAGTTGGCTTGTCTGTCTCTCCTGCTACACGAAGAGCTCTCTGAGGGTAAGTCCTGGAATTTTTATTATAACATAAATCCTCTTCAGGGCTGGCCGGTTGGCTCCGTTGATTAGAGCATGGCGTTATAACACCAAGGTTAAGGGTTCAGTTCCTCATACCAGCCAGCCAACAAAAACAAAAAATCCCCTTCATTCAAAAATCACCTCCTGGGCCGGCCTGTGGCTCACTCGGTAGAGTGTGGTGCTGATAACACCAAGGCCCCGGGTTCGGATCCCATATAGGGATGGCCGGTTCGCTCACTGGCTGAGCGTGGTGCTGACAACACCAAGCCAAGGGTTAAGATCCCCTTACCGGTCATCTTTTAAAAAAAAATAAATAAATAAATAAAAATATTAATAAAAATATTTATCCTTTTATCTGTTAACATAATAAATCACATTAAATAATTTCCTAGTGGTCAATTATCTTTGCATTTCTTGAGTACCTATTTGGTCATGGTATTCTTTTAATATATTGCTGGATTTGATTTCCTGGCAGTTTATACATAGGGTTTTTTTTGCATCTATATCCATACGTGAGATGTGTTAATTATTTTCTTTGTATATATTTCTATTTTGCAATGAGGGAGAACACACACCGTGTGGACCGTAGGACATCTCAGTGACAGAGTGTTAGAAAGAGCCAATTACAGCGCTGGCTGGTTAGCTCAATTGCTTAGAGTGTGGTGCTGGTAATGCCTAGGTCATGGGTTCGGATTCCCTTACTGGCCAGCCACAAAAGCAAAAAAAGAACCGATCAGAGGATTTGGTGATTTGGGGTAGAGTCCAAGGATTGGATGCTGTCAGAAAGTTAGGGTAATTCTATGAGCAGGTATCTTAATTCTTATTTAGAAGGCGAGCAGAATGGAGCGATTGGTAAAGAAGCAACATTCACTCATACGAACCAGGATTGGGTGATGTTTTGGTCATTTTGGGATTCAGACAATATCTATGATTAGTCTTGTTTTTGTCTTGATCCACCACGGTCAAAGAGTGGTCCTGTCTGATGCTGGTGATGTCTGAAATTGTTCTTGTTCAGCAGTGGAACACCAAGGCCTAGCCGTGGCTGCCATGACAGTTCCCGGGTATGAAGGGCTGCATTTCTTTCTCACTCACCCCTTTTGTCCAAGGTCAGATGAAGTCAGGCCACAGGACATGAACTGAAGATATTCTGGATCTTCACCATTGTTGAGAGAAAGTTGTCTGTTCTAGGACTGGGGTTAGTCTCTCCTGCTCCTTTTGTTGCATCCTGTCACGTGACAATGGCTGTGCAGTGGCATTTAAGCCTCTGGACAGGATACATTGGCCAAATGCAACACAGGCAATTACCAGAAACAAGCTGGTGATTAGTCCTCATCATAGATCCTGAGGACAGGGGCCTAGACAATCAGGCAATGGGAGCATCCCAGACGCCACATCATCTCTTGTAGAGATCTAGGAGGTTTTTTTCTTTTAGCTTCGTCAAAGGCTGTTCTCCTGATCTGTATGTAGTATTTATATAGGTGCAGCAAGAAGGGTTTGCTAAAGCATAAACTCCCCCTTGGCTAGCCAAAGGAAATCAAATTACAAGATTACTCATAACGCCTCTGGCTAATGAATTGTACCTATTTTCTTGGGGGGGGGGCTGCTTCTAGAGCAGAAGTTGTGTCATTTTTGGCATCTGCTAGGGTCAAAGACAAGTTCTGGATCACTTTTGCAGCATGTGGGAACAGCAGCTCACAGAGCATGCAGGAAGAGTCAGTTTTCTTTCCTCGGAGTTATCCAAATTAGCCTGTGCTTTCCTCTTCAGAGAAACATGAGGAGGGGCAGTAGTTTTATTTTTTACTTTTTCATTTTTATTTTATTTTTTTAACAACCGGACGGTGGGCCGGCCCGTGGCTCACTCGGGAGAGTGCGGTGCTGATAACACCAAGGCCCCGGGTTCGGATCCTACATAGGGAT